TATCTCAATCATCTCAGTTTTAGTTCTCATGACCTGATGAAGAAAAAACTGACCTTGACTCTCATATATCAGTAGATCAGAACTCAATTCAAATGTTATATTAATATGAATATTAAGTTAATTAAGAACTTGAATAATTGAGATATATTTCATCTCATTCTTCATTGCAATTATTTCAAAGAAGCTAAATAATAAATTCAAGAACAGTAATCTTTATACAGTTTGCAGAGTATAGTGAACAGCTTCTTGAACTTTCAGAACTATTATATGAGATCTTATATTTGAATATGAGTAATTACATTCAATAAAATGCACTCTTTCAATATAAGATATATCATTCAACTTCAATTTGCAGTAGCATTCAAGATTCTCACACTGATATTAGATACAATCAGACAAAAAAATAGATTTATTTATTGATGAATATCAGATGAATTCATTGAAATAATATTTAATAGAGCTTCTTCAACTGTGAGATTGTTGACAATTTCTGTCATTTCTATATACATTTATCACTGAAAAGTTGAGGATTTGAGAAGAACAGATATCAAGAGAATCAGATTTTGAAAGTGTAGTAATCTCATGAAGAATTCAGCAAGGTTTTTCTGAGCAGAACTCAGAGTTGATATTTATATTAATGATACTATTGAAATTGAGGTTTTATTAACTGATAAAATCAGAAATTGTACTTTGTATTGCTTTTTCAGAGTTGATAGATCTTCAGAGAGCAGACTTATCAGTAATGTATTCTTCAATAAACACAGAATTTACAGTAGTGATTTGTAGTTTTTTCAGAAAATACCTGACTCTTCAGTTCAGAGTCTCATTGTCAGAACAAATGAATTCATTTCAAAGATACTGTATTTATAAGATATATCAATTGCTGAATCAGAATCAATAAATTAATCAGTAATAGTAATAGCAATTGCATCAGCAGCTGGTATTTCAATATCATTAGTAACTGACTTATCAGAATTCTCTTAATTATCATTTTTAGAAATATTCTTCTCAGCAGCTGCTTTTAAAAGTCACTCAATATACTCAATATTATCAGCAGCATTCTCATTATATGACTCTGTCTTTAGAGAATGTTAGTTTTTATAATAATAGAGATATCAAAAGTGATAAACTTACTGAAAATAGCAATGCTTCTTCACTGAGAGTATTAATATCTGAATTACTGTCAGTGAAATCTTCATTTACAGTTTTCAGAAAAGAGAGATATTGATTATTCTTAAATTCTTGTGTAGAGACAGATAGCAGATAGTATTTCAGATTTCAATTAAACAGATACAATATTTTACTTTCTGATATGATTTATAGAAAAAAGTTGCATAGTTGAAAAGATATAAATGAAGTGAATAAGCAGTCTTGATAAAATAAAGAGATGAGATTGAATTATTAAAAAGAAATATATTAATAAGAGCTGTAATTAGCAACAATCTACATTAATTTAATATTAAGAATCAAATCACTATATTTCTATTCATATCACAAATTTATCAGAGTTCTATCAAGATTCTGAAAATAAATATTATCATGAATTCTGCTCTACTAGATCTCTCTGAACTCTCTCATCTGATAGGTTTAATGAGACAAATGACTGATTTCAAAATAAATCTGATATTGATATATCTAAACATAGAATGAATATAATGACAGTAATGATGAATATCAGTCAGATGAGAAGAAGTTAAACTCATCACTGATATCAAGCAGTTCATTAAAAAGGCATCACTGAATCTGGCATTTAAATGCAGAAATGTATGAGTAGGAAATTCAGTCAACAGAGCAGCATTTGTGTCTGAAGATAAAATGAATATATTTTCTTTCTTTTAATAAAGATAATTTGAATTGAACAGTTACAAGTGTGATAAAAATAAAGAATAAAACATCATATATCTTTTCATTCAGCAGAATGATGATGCTGAATACAATTAAAATATGAAAGTTCTGAACTCTCAAAGAAATGAAGACAAGTAGTATTAGATTTTAACAAATATATCAACTTTTTAGTGAGATATCTTAGAGGAATTTGAAACTTTTCAGTGAGATATTAAAATTTTTTTGATCAACTTAGCTAATCATTTATTAATATAGAATTATATTGAACAGAAGAAGATAAAGAGCAGAGAAAGTTCAGCAGTAATCAGATTGTATAACTGCTATAAAGAATCAATTATCTTTGAATACTTCTGTGATTCATTTATCACTGAAAAGTTCTTTCTGATTTTTTACTGAGTATGAGAAATCATTGACTTTGATTGATTCTCTGAGTGAGGATCATGATATATGAAATGTAAGTTGAATATTCATTAGTTAAAGATATTGAATTGAAAACTTCAGATTGAAAAACTAGAAACTGATTCTGAAAAATAGAGATATATGTCAATCTTATAACTCAGGTCAAAATATTTGATAATGCTGATACAAATGAAAATTCTACTACAGCTATACTACAATGATAAAATATTCTAACATTCTGAAATCTGATGAGTGATATTTCTGAATATCAGTAAATTGTCAGAGATGACTTTACTGAGACAATTCAGAATACTCTGACAGTAAAAAAGAGACATCTGATGAAAGATGCATGAAAGAAGATGTGAAAAAATATTAAATTTTCAGAAATACTTCTGATGAAAGACAGATCAGTGATGTAGAGATTTTCAACATAATCTATTTATATTTCAATATATTTAGTTTTCTATGAGTTTTATATATAAATTAGTTAATATATACTTTAATATATATAATTAGAATATATCTGTCTTGATACTTACTAAAGAAAGTTGTTATATTGTTTATCTTACAATTTGTATAGTTATGACTGTGAATAATTCATCAATTTCACTGTATCAGAAAATCTTGAATTCTGTAGATATATTTCTAGCAGTATATTGAATACTTGTTCCTAGTTAATAGAAATGATTTTATATTCAAAATAGCTGTAATTCATTCATGATAGACCGCACAGAAAGTATTAAGATATGAATAAAATTCATCAGATGCACTGATTACACTCAGAAATAAAATATAAAAGCATTTGCATTTGTGATTCAAAGGTTGCTTAAGTCAGTGTATGATTACAGGCGTACGCCGGCTTCTTATATATTGTAATATCATACACTAAATTAATTAGTGGCTGCTATGGCCCCTCTTTACACTTGTACACTAATCATGTCATTCTTACTCACTCTCTGTAGTGAGTGCGCCACAGCGTACGGAAAACCACACTGTAAAGAAAATATTTTGAATATAGTAATCTTCAAAAATTAATTAATAATCATTATCACATCTATCTATAATATAAAGATTATCTATATACTCATTAGAAGGTGTAGAATTCACTGTAAGTTGAGATTCTATAGAATTATCTTATTGTGGTTGAGTGGCTGTAGATTTTGTAGATTTGATTTCAATCAATTGAAGAGTCTTATTGAACATCTTTTTCATCTCATCTGCTCTACAGATCACAATCTTGCAATTGGCATTCTTAATAGTGAGAACTTCATCTACTTGTACCTGCCTGTGAAAGGATTTGATGACCTGATATCTATTTGCTTAATAATGATCTGCAAGTTCATCCTCATAATGTGCATTCAATTCCACCTGAACCATGCTACTCTTGAAGATCTTGTTCAACCGCCTTGTCAAACCAGGTGTAAGGATATTCTTCACATCTTCTAAGGCCTTGGCTGCTGCATCAATTTGATGATGTAGTTTTGCAACTATCTCTGAGAAGGTTAATTGTGAGAAGGCAGTTGATGATTGATCAGCAGATGACAGAGTAAAGTGATTGCATACATCATCATCATCATCATCATATATATTGATATTCAGGGCATCATTTTAGATTCATGGGTTTTTGCTTGACTTGTTTGTAATCTGGCAGGCATTTGATAAATTAATATATTCACATCTTGCTTACTGTGAGAGATGCAGTCTCTGAATGTGTATGATGCTATCTCAACATGCAGTTCACAGCAGCTTTGATATACTTGCTGATGAATGAGTAAAAATTAATGTTCAACTGATGAATTCATATCTTAATTATCTCTTTCTGACTATCATTCAATACTTGATTCAGTGAAACTCTCATAGTTCTTGATTTCTTCTCATTGATCCTCCCATACAAGGTGACATATAAGACTTTGAATTCTCATGACAGAGATGTGATTTTTAATTTTAAATTGTTTTTATACATGTTAACAGCTCTTTGCAACTGCTTCTCAGTGTAATTAGAAGTTTTAGACATGATTATAATTAATGATAATTATTTGAAGATGAAGAATGAAGATATTGAAAATATTTTCTTTACAGTGTGGTTTCCTGTACGCTGTGGCGCACTCACTACAGAGAGTGAGTAAGCATGGCACGGTTAGTAGTTCGGAAGCGGCCGCGTTATTATCCGATGATCATATGTTCTTTCAAATCACATTCTACCTCACCAGATTCAGTCACGCCCACGTGACCATGTCATACACTCTAGCTTCATGCAGATTAGCTCATCACTAGCATTTTATAATTATATAATCTATCTCTGATTCAGCTAGTGTTCTGTCTACACTCTCACAAAGAAACTTTCACTATATTATATCACTCATTCACTAACTTTTCTCATTCTTCAATCATCTTCTTCATTATTATTGAATGCTATTATCATTCAAGATTTCTACTTCTTGTTCTATTCAACTCTTTCTATCTATTCATTTATTACATTGTACATGTTTCTGGCAATGACTCTCTGTTCTCATAACAAGTGTTATCATAGTGCTTATATCAGGCAGTTCATTAGCAGTAAGTGTAATATGTTGTGAAACATGATCAGAACTTGTTTATCTTCTAATAATCATCAGAACATATTATTATGAATAATACATCTTCTTTATCTTCTTATACATTCTCAATCATTTCCTTCTCAGTGAGTTTCTGATTGTGTTTTCTGACACAATTTTATATGAATACAGATACTGATATGTTTGTTTTTATTCATATAGAATCTTCATATGTTGACAGATCTGCATCTGTCAATGATAGTGAACTCAATGTTAAATCATTGATCAAGAACTTGAAGAATGTGATAATGAAGAAATTGTTTATATTATATATGACTGAGTCTTCTGCATCTCTCTTTGCTCTCTCTGTTTCTTTCTCTGCTGCTTTCTCTCTATCTTCTACACCTGTCTCTGTGTCTGATTCTCCCGCTTCTGCTATTCCTGTTCCTGTGACCCTCACTTCTACTACTTCTGAATTTGTTATCTCTGCTTTTATTATCAGCTCTCTCTGTTTCAAGAAGATGTTATATAGACTTAATAAATTATATTTGTCAGTGTGTACACTCTCACTCTTTCTACTGACTTCTAGAACAATTTATTATATGAAGACTGTGTATAATATAACTATCTGAAGCTCAGTCACAGACACTGATTATTATATTCATTTTAAATATTTATAATAAGATAATTATTTATTCATATCAGAGAATCACTCTCTCTCTTAACAGTGTCAAGATTATAAGTCTTTTTCTTTTTCATCTTTTCTTTCTAATACTGATTTTTCTATTCTTAGAGAAAATTGTTATGAGTTTTACTATGTATAAAGTTATGATGTTTACAGATATTAAGAAGCTTTTTATAACTGTAAAGTTTAACATTGTAGAGATATCTGCTCTGATAAATTTGTTCAGAATAATAGATTTGTATCAGTCTATTCTCTAGTGTCTATTATCTAACTTCATGATACAGATGAAATATATCTGTGTTTTCAGAAATAAGAATGCAGATGTTGTACTCTTTTACACTCACAGATGTAAGACTTATACATCTTATCTGAAATATTATCATGAGAATAAGTTATTCATATACTGCATTCTGCTTTCTGTATTTCTCTGTATCTCTATCTCTCTTTCTGAGAAGTCTTATATATGTTGTAATTACATGTACAACTCTAAGATCAGCAGATATTTATTCAGTAACTGTTCTCATCTCTGATTTTATAATTTTTGTATACTAATAATAATTCTTAGTTACTCTGATATCAGAGGCTATTCTGATCAAAGATGATAATGCTGCTGAGACTATTCTCTCTCACTCTCAAGCTTCTCTTATTACTTTCTCTTCCTTCTCTGTGAAGAAGATTGTGTACACATCAGATTATAAGCATTCAGTCTCAGATAACTCTCACTGTTATTTATTCAGTTCTGTATCTTCTTCTTCTTCTATTTCTTCTATCTCTGCTCTCTCTACTCTGACTTCTGATTCTGCAGGTTCTGCACTCTTCTTTAATTTCTCTACATGTATGCATGCGCATTTCTATATTAGCATTCCAGTCAATATTGCAATAAATGACATTAATGTCATATACAGAGTGATGAAGGAATCAGAGATATGTATGATATTGTTATAAGAGCAGCTTACAGCTCTTGAATTCCTTGCAGATCTTGAATTTTGAGATTTTCTTTATTTTTAATGTTTTTCAGATGATGTGGTGTTGGAAATAGATTAAACATGTAGTGTATAAAAATGAATGAGATGTGTATGATAACATGTGTCTTTTACAGCTGACTCTTACAGTTGATAACTAATTCATTATCTCTTTTCTTATGCTTTTTCTTTATCTGCTAGTCACTACTCTTACATGATCTCTATATAATACAGTATTCAGTAACTAGGTTTGACAGCTTTCATCTTTTGTGATTCTGTCTCACACATTATACTGTCTCTCTTCACCTGCTCAGATCACTATAATGAACAGCTCATTGAAACTAACCTCATATGATCTCTGAGTGTTCTCAGAAATTGAGATGACTTGATCTTACATATTCATGAATATTTCAGATAGTTTATTCTCTGTGATCTCTGTGATTGAACTAGTGTAAACAGTTGAATTTAACTCTGAATTTCTTTTTCTTCTATAATCTGACTTATATATAAGTCTGCTACTCTAAGACTGCTCTTTACTGTATTACACTCACTGTCTGTGATATATTATTATACAATCAGCTACAGTCTTATTACTTATTGAAGTGTGATATTCATCTGATTTCTTCATTTCTTCTTATTCTTTTCTTATAATTGTGAAAAGATCAGAATAAGTGAGATTATCTGATTTATAAATATCTATGATTTCTCTTACTTTGTAAGACTTTTCAATTGTAAGTCTCTTCTTTTTCAACACTGACAATAGTGCTGTGAATAATCATAATCTGCTCAGATCTTGCATCTTTACTTTCATAAGTTATAAATCATTGATTAAGTTGTATAAGATCTGTCTCTCTGATTTTTTCAATGCATATGTTCTCACAGAATGTGATTTGAGTATTTTATATGACTCAAATCATCTAGATTGAAACTTCTCAGAACTCTTATTATATATGAGAACTTATATTCTTATCTTGAGACTTGATTTCTTAACTAGTGAGTCTTGTATTCTTTTTAATTGAATTGCTCAGTTCAGAAGTAACTTGTTAGCTTTTATACAGGTGTGACTGATCTATATCAATCTTGATTCTGTGTCTGTGACTGTTGTGTCTGCAACTGCTACTGCTGTGTCTGTAACTGCTGTTTCTGCTGCATCTGCAACTGCTGTTTCTGCTATATCTGTAACTACTCTCTTCCTCACCTTTTCTGAAGCATTCTTCAGAATGCGCGAATGCAATTCATACAACAGGTAGAATAATGAATGCTTGAAGACTGCATGCTGTTGAATCTGTGTGATCAATAGCATTTGTCTGAGATATTCATCTCATAGTCTTGTAGACTTACTCACTAGATATTTTATCAGCATGTTGCTCAAGATTTCATTCAAGTATTTCATCTTTCTATTCATTCACAGATAATATAGTATTGTTCTATAATGTCTTATCTGTAACTAGCTTATAAAATGCCTCACTGCTTCTCTTACAAGATTCACACTATTATCAGTTAGAATCTCACACAGCATTTCATAGTTGACATAGATCTCATTATGTAGAAACTTTATCATCATCTTGTCTATTGTCTCTGAAACTGCTTTTGCAACTGGCCAGTCAGTAGTATAATCAATAGCAGTGATTATTCATCAATTTTCATTTAGCATTCACAGTAATATATCTATGAGATTCATCTTTTATTATTTAAACAGTTGTATCATACACTTCATCTGATATTATACTTTCTCACATTCTAACCCTTTCTTAGATTCTTTTGTGACCTGATAATTCAGACACTTATAAGCATATATCTGAATGTTCTCAGCCATGCTTGATCAGTATACTCTTGATTCAAGTATGCTCATGAGTTCAGAGCTTTCTAAGTGACTGAATTTCTTGTGCATGTGAGTTATCAAGTCACATCTAAATAAAGATTCTAGATAGAGAGCTTCTATATATTCTAGATCACTGTGAAGCACAATGTTGTTTTTCAATTTTCTCAGCTTGAATTTCAGAAGTATCTCTTCTACTACTCTCATAAGACACTTATCATTCAACATCTTGTTATTCTTCAAGTGAGAGATTATGATGTTCACTTATTCTGATTTCTTACATCTTCTCAGTATATTTAATATGAACATTTCTTGTGTCTGATTTACAGAACTCTCACTCATGAAATCAGATCTGCAACTGATTATATCAGATATCACAGCATTTAATTTCTTTCAGTATTTAATATAAAGATTGTATACTTAAAACTCTGAGATTCAATGTGCTAAATGTTTGAAAGATTTTATTATCAATTATAGATAGATAAGGCTTTCATAATCTATGATCATCATTGTTATATATCTGTTGTTGATATATCTATTTCACAATGTCAGTGTATACTTAATCACTAGCAATTTCTTTTCATACACTGAGTAATTGAGCTCAGTGTCTGATAGTTTTCTATCATTATACATCACTGAGTGCAGCTTGCTATTCTTACTCATCTGTAGAAGAGTGTCTCTGATATCTTATTCAGATATATCTATCTCAATGTAGAAAGATTTATTATGATCTGATTGAATAAGCACTGAGAATATTATTACACATTTTCTCAGTGTGAGAAAAGCCTCTTCACACACAGCATTTCAGAAAATTAAATGAAACTTCTTCTTTTACAGATTTGTATCTATTTCTCTTAAGAGATGTAAGAGTGATGCTGATATTCATGTGAAATTCTTGATAAATCTGTGATAATATGAGATCAACTCAAGAAACTGTTATACATGATATATATTTCTCAGCTGTGGTCAATTCACTATAACATTCAATTTCTCTGAGATAAAGTGTATATAGTTATCACTCACTACATATTCTATGAACTTCAACTTTTCTGTTTCAAACACACACTTAATTAATTTAACATAGAGCTTATACTCTGTCAGAGTTATAAGCACTTCATCAAGATACTTCAGATGTTTATTATATGAGTTTGAAAAGACTAGAATATTATTGAAATATACAAGATATGAGATTTCATTCTGTTTATAAAGAATTATATTCATCATCATTTAAAAGATGACAGGTACATTTGTCAGACTAAATGATATTATCAGAAATTCAAACTTTCTTCATTGTATATTAAATGTGATTCACAGAACTGACAGTTCATCTATATGAATCTATCAGTATTCTGAGAGAAGATTGATCTTTGATAGATATCAGATGTTTCTGAGTGTATTCAACTGTTATTGAATCTGTGACAGTGAATATTTATTCTTGATTGTAAGCTTATTGAGTGCTTAATAATTGATACACATCTGTTACTTCTCACTCATCTTTTTCATGAATAGAACTGAAAAGCCTCACATGCTTGATGAGAGTCATATGAGATCACATTCTAGAAGGTTGATGATCTGATGCTTCTGTTCTTTGAGATGTATTTATGACAGAGAGTACACATTCTGATTGACTGGTTTTGCATCTCTCATGTCAATCTCATGTATAAATTCTTATTTCAGTGATAATTCTGATGAAAGATCTGTTTAAAAGATCTTTTCATACTTCTTCAGAAGCTTCTTTATACACTTATTCTTCTGTATATTCTTTATCTTGATTTCCTCTGCTTTCAGATTCTGTATGATATACAGAATACTTTTGAATAAGATCTTATAAATTGTTCTCTTTACTTATTGATATGTAAGCAGATTTAATTCTTCTATATCAGAGATGTGAAATGTTCTTCTCATATTCAGTTAATAGAATTGTATGAATCATTTTCTTTCTATCAGTTAACTGTATATGATATGTACATCATTGAATCTGCAGATTGAATCTTTAAAATCAATTAAGTCTGAGAATAAGATTGTACTTCACATTCTGCAGCTCTCACACTCAAATATAGCAAGATCATTCTCTGAAGTGCAAGAGAACTCTTACTCTTGTGAGTGATATTAAACATTAATTATCAGATAATCTTATATATCAGAGATTCTTCACTCAGCAGATCTCTTTCAGTCTTCAGATTATATAATTATCAATATATTATATAGAAGCTTCTGTATTCACTAACACTTTTACAGTCATCTCTCAATTCTTACTCAAGTGCCTCTTATACATTAACATTTCAGGTCTTAAAACATTGAGATAAGTATTCACTTCATCATTCTTATCTGTATGTCATTTAAGAGCCTGCTTCTTCTTTATATTTACAGAATTCAGAGAATTATCTAATACAGGTATCTCTTTCACTTTGAAGACTTTTTATAGAATATCAGCAAGTGTCTTCAAGCTCATTAATTCTGCTAGTTTTTTAACTCTCTTACTTCTCTTGACTGTGTATACTGAGTGTAATCTTTTATATCATGATTTTGATATCTGTAGTTGAAGCAGACTCAATACTCATAATATTAAGATTTTCACTCAGAGAATTTCTTTTTCAGGGAATTCAGTGCTTTAATAATGATATTCAGATCTAGATTCATTATATCTGAATATGTAACTTATATTATAGAAGTCTGATTATCTGTTCTCTGCTGAGGCATACTTAATTACAGTATTTTCTGTCATAATTGACTCACTTCTTTCTGTATGATGAGAATGTTGTATGCTTTCTTCACTATGTCTGACTGTGAGATTAAGTATTTTCATTTCACTCTTAACTCAGATGTAAGATTATGAATGAAGATCTGTAAACAGAAAGATGTTAAAAGCTCTTCATTCAATATAAGATAGTATAAGCTGAAGTGTGTGAAGTATAATATAAGATCACTCACTTATCTACACTC